GTTGCACCTTGAGTCTACAAAATATCGACATTTTGTCATGTCTTTGGAAAGAGTAAATGCATTTTAGAATACCAGAATACATAACCGTAGGCTTCATTAACGAAATCTGAAGAGAGCAAATAAACCAGTAGTTATTTATAATCCTAAAATTTAATTTTATAGGTAGCATTTTTGTGACTTTACAGCAAGAATAGTTTATAGTCATTTGCATTAGAAAACATAATTGTTGAAGAATATTAAAGTGTTGTATACACTGAATCAATTTCGTTACACAATACTTTGATATTTTATTCTTTTATTAGAAAGTGTGTTATCTTTAAAAACATTTATAACTTTTCCCAACTACTAAAGTTCTCCTTCTCTCTACTTTCTTAAATATTAAAATCATATTAATTATTAAATTAAATTATCAATTTAATTAAAACATTCTTTTTGTCCAAATTTGTTTTTGTATTTCCAGATTAATTATTGTTAGTTGAGATATGTACAAATAAACCCATCATTTGATCATATTTCTATTTTGTTATCTCTCATTTAGTTAAAAATTTACATATCTAAATCTTGCTAGTTTTTATAAAGCTATGTTTAATTATGCCTGTAATTACCTTCTAAATGTAAATTTTAGCTCTTACTAGATAGTTCAGTAAACCGTGACCCCTGTATTTTATTTGGTATCTCATAATTTAAATAGATTTAATTTTAGCTATAAATATCAGAAGTCTAAACAGCATCTAGTTCTCAGAATTTCATCAGTAAGCAGAGACATCTACAATAAAATGCTTGTTTACCAAAATGTAGAAGTTCCTGTTCATCTGACAGAACTGTCTGTGAGGTCTGTATTTGTTGTCAAGCTATCAATTATATGTGTGATCTCCATCTTTAAAATTGCAGGGGATAGATTTAATGCCTGAGAACCATGATCAGATCCAGAAATTGGGAGGCAGAAGACCAGAACACATCCAGCCTTGTGAGGATACTCTTGATTCAGCCAGGATGTGGAAACTTTCTCTGCATGGGTTCCATTTGGGGTCAGAACAAAGGAATTAACTTTAGGTGGAATAAGGGAGTAGACAAATCACTGTATTTTTCAAAATCTAACCAAATATCAGGAATCAGTGTAAAAGAAAGGAAATTTTACTTCACTCTTTTAATAAATAACATTATTGTTTTCAATTTCTGCAGCTACAGATAGCTTACATTATATTTGTCAAAGGGAAACAATCAGAGAGGTTTGCACAACTAGTTTTGTTGTTACTGCTGTTGTTGTTACTATTGTCTTTTGAATTAAAAATAGAACTAAAACATTTCCACAATGATAGTATTAATAGCTTAAATGTGGTACAACATTAGTGGAAGAAATGTTGGTTTAAATGTTAAAAAGTCAAAGCCTTATTTTAAATAAAAAAATGAGTCTTTACTCAATGCAAATACATAAGTAATCAATTGATTTTGTTGCCTGAAACATTTACAAATCAGCAATAACCCTGATTAGGATCAAGTTTTCAGTAAGAAATTTTGGATTGAGCCTCATGGGCCACTTCTGATACATTTCAAAACAGTATTACTTCACAATTAGAAGAAAATTCAAAGGATGAGACAATCACTTCATAACTAGAATGTATTTTTTCTGATTTTACAAGTGATCTCTCCACATCCTCCATTTCTTATTTAGAACTTAAGTTTAATGCAATTTTCTGAGTACATCAAGACAAGAAATTTTCACAAAAAGACAAAGTTTAGATGATATTACTTAAACATACTGTTAGACAAAAATGCTTTTTTCTTTGTTAGAATTGTGCTGTATAGTACTCATCTGAAATCTGCATAAGCAACTTGCAGGTATTTTCTATGTTTTTGATATTTTATATCAAAATGCTTATATTTTATGCAATCTTTCTCAGAGCTAATTCAAACTTCCTTAGGAATGTGATTATTTTCTTTAGGTGAGGATGAGTTTATTTCATGAACATTTTATTAAGAATGTTCATTGAGGCTTGTTCACTTTATCTTTGGAATTTAAATTATTTCTCTGGAAACTAAGTGACATGAAAAATTCTTTTACTTGATTTCTAACTTATACGTCTAATGAACTTTAAACTTCTAACAGTTTAAAACGCTAAACTGTTACTGGCATTGCAAAAATCAAAGTATGTAACAATTAAAATTTTAAAAATTACTCTTATAATGCTGGGTGTGTTAGCACACACCCATAACCCTAGCAATTTGGGAGGCTGAGGCAGGAGAATCACTGTAAGTTTGAGTTCAGCCTGGGCTACATAACGAGACACTGCCTCAAAACAAGAAAGAAAGAAAAAAAGAAAGGAAGGAAGGAAGAAAGAAAGAAACAAAGAAAGAAAGAAAGAAAGAAAGAAAGAAAGAAAGAAAGAAAGAAAGAAAGAAAGAAAAATATTGCACTTAAGAACTCATTTTATTGTTTGATTTTTACCCAAACCAGAGATGATTCTGCTGATCCAAATCTCCCTCCCTTCGTTCACTTTAAAAATGAGGCTATGTGAATTTCAATTAGTTATGAAGTCATACTTGATGATATCTTTGGATATATTTTGTACAATTTTTAAAGTTTTACTTTAGGGCCAGGAATTTAGCTCAATGGCATAAGTACTTGTAAGTGACTGCCTGCTAAGTACGAGTTCATGAATTCAATCACTGGACCAGAAAAAAATAAATAAAATTTTATTTTAAAGAGGATAAAACCAAGGAGGGAAAAAACAGAATGAAACCAATAAAAATAAACCAGTATAAGCAATACAGGACTTCAAAACATTATGAAATCAATAATAGTTATCATAATGCCTTTTGTTGTCTTCTAAAAAGCTTCAGATGCTTTTGGCTAGAGTAAAAATCAAACAACAGAATAGAATAGAAACAATAAAAACAAAACAATGAATGCAATAAAAGACTTTAAGCATGATTCCATTTGACTTAATATATAAATCTTACTATAAAATCATGTTATATTTTACCATGTTAGATAAAAACCTCTTCCATTTCACTTTAAACATCTCTAAAAAGGTAGTAAAAGACATGTGAGGAATCAGGGTAAATAGAGTTCTTGTGATAGTGTCTTAAGGCTTTATTTCTGTCTGCTCCTTTTACAGTGGAATATTGTATATTACAGCAATCTAGCATACTAGGCATTTATAATTATGGAACATTTCTTTTCATTTTGTGAATTTGAACATAAGAAAGTATAAAATGCATTTTTTAAAATTTGTATTTGGAATATCTATTCTGTACAGCCTAATAGTGTCTTATATTTATCTTTACAACTGAAATAAATAATATTCATTTACATTAACCAGTAGAACTGTTGATGAGTGGATGTACAGATGGTTAGATGCATATACATGATAAATACAAATGCATGTATAATTACATGTATCAAAACAAAATACGTACACAGCATTTACTAATACCAGATAGATTTAACTTCTGTGTATATATGATTTCTTCTCTTATTTGCCAGAAAAATATAAGATGGAGCAAAAAACTTCTGGGCTGTAGGACATGAGTGGATCACAAGATGGAAATGATATTTATGAATATATTAATATAGTAACATGAAAAATTAGTCCCCAACTAAGAACATTTATTCTGAATTTCATATGATTTAAATAAAATGCTATGGTATTAAACCACGAATTATTTCTGTATCTTCAATTACCTATGCCGAATACCCAACATTTTTCACTTTAAAAAATATTTTCCTGGATTTCAGTTTAACCATAAACATGAATAATTACATTAAGTTATATAAATGGCTCATGCCAGGACTAACATACTGTGTTTCCATTATTCATGTATAAAAGTATTTTAATAGATAGAGCCCATGGACAAACAAAGTCTTGTTTAATAACATTATTGTCTATATTCTACATTGAAACTCCATTTTAATGTACAATTGTTTGAATTTTATCTACTAAGATGTTAGTCAAACTCTTGCTACTTAAAAACTCTTCATGATGGCTAGCTACCACTGTAGGAAGAAAATTTAAGCCTATAGATAAGAGACAACAGATAGAATATTACTAAAGCCAGATAAGTGAGTGCATTGCATTTTCATTACTTGGTCTACTTACCAAAAGCACAAATGTTCAACAGAGGTGATTTGGTGTCACATAGGCCAGAAGAATAAATTATAGCAAATAGTTGTTTAAAATCATATTTCTACTTTAAATAAACTATAAATCTCATATGCTATGTAATTAATATATCCAAGTCATATGCAATTGGCAGTACTTTAATTGTAGTCACTACCATAGTATTTTAACCACAGAAAAAGAATAAACTATAAGTACAAAATGGAAATATTCCTTTTAAAAGAGAAAAATAGAATTAAAATGATTACATAAAATATATATCCTATACATGTATTGCTTGTATATTTGAAAGAAGAAAATGGAAAAAAATAAAAAAGGAGAGAACAAAACAAAATAAAAAAATTGAAAAGTTTTTCCCAACTTTGATACTTCCTTCTCTGTATTGTCAAGTTGTGTAGGGAGTGGCGCGACTGCCCCATTGCTGCCTCCCTGCCTCCCTCTCCTATGGGCATATGATGCACCTGCCTACATTAACCATAATCCTCTCCTGCTTATGTCACATACCCAGACGCGACGATGACCCATCAGAAACCACCCCGTAGCCTCTTCCTGTCCCATCAGCCTGCCCTTGGCCTATAAAGGATGCAATCACTTCCTGAATAAACGAGGCTTGATTGGATTCTCTTGACTTGCTTCAATCTCTCTTTGTCTCCCCCTGTTCTATTCATCCCTGTTCCCCCTCCAGGTATATACCCCATGGATTGCTCCACGGGCCAGATCAAGTGGTGCCCAGCGTGGGGGCTCCTAGCATGGGGGAGTCAATGAGGGAGCCATTCGAGAAAGCCGGCTAAAAGTGGAAACAAATTGAATCAAGGACCGAGGCTAAAAGTGAAAGCAAACTGAATCAAGGACCTAGGCCTGCACGGATGACCACCCGACATGCCACTCGAGTCATGGTGAGTGAACGGCAACCCCATTCCCTTTCCCCAACATGGGTCAAGCATTGAGTGAATATGAATTGTTCATGGAAGGCCTTAGCAAGGCTTAAAGACAAGAGGGTTAAGGGTTAGAATAAAAGAATTGTTGCAGTATTTTCAGTTTATCCATAAGGTTTGCCCTTGGTTCCCCCTAGAGAGTTCTATAAATACCAAGAGGTGGAAAAGAGTAAGAGATGCTCTAAAAGATTATTATAGGGTTTTCGGTCTGGAAAAGGTTTCGGTGACCACCTTTGCATATTGGAATTTAATCTCTGAGCTGCTGGCCAGTGGCATGCAGATCCTCAGATTGAGGAGATGGTTGCGCAAGGCCCCCTGAGCTACACAGCCTTATAGTGCCCCTAAGATGGCGCCTGCCTCCAGCAAGCTTCATGGCGCTCTTAAAATGGTGCCTGTGTCCAGCAGCCAACCCTTAACGATTCTCGTAGCCAGGCCCTCCCCTACAGGGGGATCAACTCAAAATTGGGAATGCAAAACTAAACCCCAAATTATACCCAAACTAAATAACTGACCAGGGCCTTGCCCACAGGAATATAAGTCATATCAGATAGAGATGCATAGCTCCTGTTATGATGCTGTACAAGAATGTTCTGGCTTACATAATGCCACTTACTTTACAGCCATACTTACAAAAATAAAAATGGCAACAGCCGGAGGTGATTAGGGCCTCAACCCCTCTGTATCGGGAAGCCCCATATACACCCAAGCCTCCTGCAAAGGAGAAATCAACAAGCCGGTCTGTTGGTATAAAAGGGCTCCAATCCATGTCTCAGATGGGGGAGGTCCTCAAGACAAAATGAGAGAACTGTATGTTGAGAAAAAACTAAAAGAATTAGAAGACAGTCTATTCCCAAAGATCGATTACCATCCGTTAGCTCTCCCCAATCACGGGGTATGGATTTAGACTCACAAACTTATGATATCCTTTCAGCCACTCACCATGTACACCTCACTAACCCTGCTTTAGTGCAAGACTGCTGGTTGTGCATGGCCTTAGGCACTCCTATGCCCTTAGCCATCACCTCCAACTCAACAATTGACCCCTCTCATGATCCATATAATTTTACCTGTAGACCTTCCCAATCATTTCTAGTCCAGCCATTAATAACACCCAACATATCCATGACCTGCCTACAGGGCTCTCTCCAAAATGATTCTACCCTTATAGATATGGGCCATTTCCTGTCCACCGCCTGTATTCAATTTGTCAATCATACAGGCCCCCTGTGCCCCCTGACAGGACACATTTTTGCTGCGGTAATAATAGGGCCTATACCTATATTCCAGCCAACTGGACAGGTACATGCATAACTGCTTCCCTCCTGCCCGACATAGATATTGTCTCAGGTGACCAACCTGTCCCAGTACTAGCACTTGATTACATTGCTGGCCGCCAAAAACGAGCAGTAACACTGATCTTGCTTTTGGTGGGAATGGGCGTCATTGGCACTGTAGCCACGGGTACTGCTGGCTTCACCGTTGCCTTAGATAAATATACTGACCTGTCCAATCAGTTGTCTAAAGATGTTCAAGCCTTATCCTTTACCATAAAAACTCTCCAAAACCAATTAGACTCACTGGCAGAGGTTGTCTTACAAAACAGACAAGGGCTAGACCTGCTCACGGCAGAGGAGGGGGAAATCTGTCTTGCCTTACAGGACAAATGTTGCTTCTATGTCAATCAGTCCAGTGTTGTGAGAGGCAAGCTCCAAGAAATAGAAGAATGGCTTCAACAGCGATAACAACAAATGGCCGCTAACCCCTTCTCCTCGATGTGGGGGGACTTTTCCCTTACCTAGCAGCCCTTTTGGGTCCCCTAGCTGCCTTGTTGCTTCTCCTCTCTGTGGGTCCTTGTATTTTTCAGAAGATTATGATGCTCATTAATAACTGGATTGATGCGTTTATTGCAAAGCCCATTCAGGTACACTATCACTAGCTGGAGATGGCAGATCAACAAACCTACCGGGAAGGAATTCCCATGAGTGGCCTATATGACAATGTGACCTAACTGCCCTGGGGCAGTGGACAGGCAGCCAGAGATGGGCAACTAGGACATGCATGTTACTCCACTGGCCGCCTAAGACAGGCACAGGACCAACTGCTGTCCTGCAAGCCCATGACGGGTAAGGCCTGGTTGGGTTCATGTAATGAGGTTCCTTGACCTAAGACAGGCACTGTCCTCACAGGGCCTGCCATACTCCTGATTAAATAATATAGAAAGGGAGAAGATGTAGGGTGCGGCGCGACAACCCCATTGCTGCCTCCCCACCTCCCTCTCCTACGAGCATATGATGCACCTGCCTACATTAACCATAATCCTCTCCTGCTTATGTCACATACCCAGACATGATGATGACCCATCAGAAACCACCCCATAGCCTCTTCTTGTCCCACCAACCCACCCTTGGCCTATAAAGGATGAAATCACTTCCTGAATAAACAAGGCTTGATTGGATTCTCTTGACTTGCTTCAATCTCTCTTTGTCTCTCCACTGTTCTATTCATTCCCGTTTCCCCTCCAGGTATATATCCCATGGATTGATCTGCAGGCCAGATCAAAGTTGCTATTGCAAAACTGCATTTATTTGAAATAGGAATATAAAAAACTTGAGATTTAACAAAATTACTTAGTATTTTATCCCATTTTATAATATAAATGACACAAAATCCAGTATTCCAGCAATTAATATATTGCTGTTCAGTTTCAATTTTGTTGCCTGCTCTGAGAAAAGGAAGATAATCCTTTTAGCGTATTTTTTCTTTCTTTTGAAACCTCTTAACTCTAACTCATTTCTTTATTTTCCATTCTAGCCATTTCTTCTTATAACAATCTATAACTGTAAAGGGGCCACTGGGCCTCAAGAAGACATGAAAATAAGTGTTTCCCTTCTTGGTTCTGTGCTGGCTCACTTTCACATGGTTTCTATGCATATGCAAATTTTCCAGCAATCCTTTTCTGCATTCTTCATGTCCATCTAATGTCTGACTCTTGCACACAGAAAATTTCTTAGTGCCAGGCTCCCAGGGTGTAGATATCTCCACCACTGCATGTCCTACAGGTTGTGTGCCTTCTTAAATGCCTATTTCTTCAGCTTCTCCAGCAACAGGAAAGGACATGGAGGTCAGTGACCTACAGTGGCCTGCAGTTTTCCTTTTAGATAATTACATAGTTGCATAGTGGTATGCCTTCCATTCTAGGGATCTAGATTGCTTTTAAAGTTGAGTGAGAGTAGAAACACATACACAGGAACTAAAAAGAAGAAAAGAAGTAAGGAAAAATTTTAGAGACTTCAGAGGGTTTATAGCCCTACTCTGATAGTTTGGTTTTCGACATCTAACCTCCAAAACTTTGAAAATAAATTTATTTTATTTTTGTCACTCTATTCAGTAATATGTTATACTAACTTTAGGAAACTACTACAGGAGGAACTTCCTTGGCTTTGTAAGGGCTAAATATAAAAGCCTGCAGCTAATACCAGACTGAATAATGGGAAATGGAATGCTTCCTAATATTAGGAATAAGGCAAAGAGTTATTTTCCTGCTACTGTTGTTCAACAATGGACTCTAATGCTTTTCTAAAGCAGTATGGAAATGATATACATATGGCATACATAAAGGAAAGGAAGAAATTAAATTATCTTCATTGTTAGTTGATGTTAATCATACAAAAAATCCAAATCTATCAAAACATAACAAAAATTCTACAATTAATAAACGCCATCATAAGATACAAGGTCAATTTATAAAAGTCAAATGCTTTTTTATATAACAAAGTAAAAATGAGAATGCCATTTGAAATAATCTCAACCCAATGACATGAAGTAGTTTAGTATAATACAAAGTATATTAAAGATTTGTATATCTAAAACTAACAAAATATTTGTGAAAACACTCAAATAAAATTATTAAACATTTATTAATTTGAACACTCAGTACCATATAACATCATTTATCCCCATGTATCTATCCATACAGATTAAATGCAATCCAAGTCAAATTCTCAGCAAGGTATTTTGTAAATATCAATTATTTTTGTGTACAGAAAAGCAAAACCTAGAATAGCCATCATAATATTGAAAAATGAACAAAGTTTGTATATGCAAAATTCCTGATTTTGACATGGTATTCAAGAACATACATGCAGATTAAAGTCAAACTGAGAGAGCATAGAAATTTAGCCACTGATGTGTGGTAAACTGATCTTTAGTAAAGTGTAACACAATTCAGTGGAAAATGTATTGACTTTTCAACAAATGGTGTTTGAAAGCATTAGTAGTCCAAATTGAAAATGAACTGAAATGCAGACTTTAAAAATAATTGTAAAGTGTAACACTTTAAAATATATAAAAGAAAACATTACAGAAAGTTTACATGAACAGTGGTAATATTAGGTATATATAGGGGAATTCATTCTTTATATAAATGAATGTCAAATTATGAAAAGAGTTAACTTTACAGTTATAGATTGTAATAAGAAGAGATGGCTAGAATGAAAAATAAAGAAATGAGTTAGAGTTAAGAGGTTTCAAAATTGGCCAGCCCAGAGGACTGCTGTGCCACCCCAACTTAGACCACCACAGCACCTGTGGCCAGTACGCTCTTCCAGCACACCAGCCCAGTGAACTGCTGTGCCCACTCTGCTCAGCCCACTGCTCTCAGCTACCCTCCTCATCTTAGACCAATTACTGCTGTGAATGTTTGGCTCCCACTCTCCCTCCCAGAACCTTGAACTCCAGTGGATTGCCTGTGCTAGTTTTAAGGGAGACTCAGTGGCTCCTCAACCAGACAGAGGACCTTGGTAGGTTCCAGTCACTATGTAACCAACAATCCGACAGACATCAACCACACAGTAGGACCCTAAGAGAGACACTGCCTACAGTTGTGGCAATCGGGATTGAATAACCAGATATTGGCCCAGAGGGTGAAAATGACAAAACAAAAAAACAAAACGCAATCTCAAACATCTAGTCCACCAGAAGCAAGAACAGGCAACATCAAAATAGAGGACTTTAAAGGTCATACACCAGAAATCTCTTAAAAGATAGCAAATAAAGTAAGGAAACAAATCCATGAGGCTATAGAGGAAATCAAACTGGAAGTAATTTCTCATGTAAAGACAGAACTAACAACCTTAGAAAATGAGTTGCTCAGGAGCAAGAGAAATTGAATGAAACTTTGAACGAACAATGTAGAAAACAAGCAGAATCCATAACAAAATTCAAAGAGATATCCAAGAAAGAAAATATTCTTTTGAAATCTGACAAAACCTTTAAATGAATCAGAAATGACAGAATTTCAGGCCTTGAGGACATGATCACAGACAGTGATCATGAAAGGGCAGGACTTACAAAAACAACAAAGCAGGATGAAATGACAACCCAGCAGCTTCAAGATGATGCCAAGAGAAACAATGTAAGACTAATAGGCATCAATGAAGATGCAGGAGTCAACACAAATGACATAGGTAAACTATTCACAGAAGGAATAGCAGAATATTTCCCATCATGAGGAAAAATCTGATATGCAGATAAGTGAGGCATATAGAATGCCAAAAAGTCACAACCAACATGAATCTACACCCAGACATATAATAATCAGAATCTCAGACATACAAGATAAAAGCAGAATACAATAAGCTGTTAGAGAAAAGACACAATTCACCTCTCAAGGAAAACCGATTAAAATCATGGCAGACTTTTCAGCACAAACCTTCAGGTTAAGAAAAGCTTGAAGTGAAGTATTTCAAGCTCTAAAAGAAAACTTTCGTGAATAATGGAAACAGAATGTTAGATTGGTGCAGCCACTGTGGAAATCTGTATGAAGATTCCTCAAAAACTAGGATTGGTAGTTTCATGGCAGACTTTTCAGCACAAACCTTCAGGTTAAGAAAAGCTTGAAGTGAAGTATTTCAAGCTCTAAAAGAAAACTTTCGTGAATAATGGAAACAGAATGTTAGATTGGTGCAGCCACTGTGGAAATCTGTATGAAGATTCCTCAAAAAACTAGGATTGGTAGTTTCATTCAATCCAGCTATCTCTTTCCTGGGTATTCCCCCCCCCCCAAAATTGAAAAGATCCTGTCACAGAGGCTATATGTGCACCCATGTTCATAGCAGCACAATTTATGATAGCTAACTCTTGGAAACAATCAAAATGCCCATCTACCACAGAGTGTATGAAAAAGATGTGATAGTTTTATACAATGGGATACTACTCAGCTGTACAAAAGGATGTTTGAGGCCTTTATATGTAAATGGAGGCAAGTTGAGAATATCCTCATTAGTGAAGTACACAAGACTCAAGTTAGTAAGTATCATAGTCGTGTCTAGTGTAAAAAATAATAAAAACTAACAGAGTAATAAGATCCAAAATCTATAATAGATATTTTTAAGAGTGAAAGGAAAATGCTCTAAAGGATATAGCAGCATGTATAGTGTGTAAGAGAGACCATATTACTAAATTTTTGTTAGATCATTGAACAGAAAGGTTTGTACTGTCAATGTTTGAGTGTTTGATTTTGTAACTTTAACAACTATTTTTAAGATTACAATATGTCATATATCAACTAGTGATTTTAGGTTGTTAATATTTTGAAATCTGTACTATTCTACCTTTTTATATTTTGTTTGTTTTCTTTTCTTGCATTCTTTAAATAAAAAATAAAAAAGGTTTCAAAATGAAAGAGTGCAAAATTTAATGTA